TAATCTTTAAACAAAAATTAAAGATAGTTTCCAGGTTGTGGTACAGGGAGAAAGATTCCCTCAGTGAGGAGGAGGAGCTGAGGCAGCTAGAGTTAGTAAGTCAGAATGCAAAAAAAGAAAGTTCACAAAGAGAGATCTGCACATATATACCCTCTGAGCATTCATCAGTGTGGGTCAGTGCTATATGCGAGGAAATGAGCTAAGACTGAGGAAAGAACAATGAGAAAGAATTAAAAGGAAAAGTACCTATAAGGGAAAAACTTATGATTCATGTGGCATTGGGTAAGGAATTCAGAAAGGTCTTGCTTCAGTGGTAGGAGATAATTACCCTAGACTGAACATTGCTTCAGACCTGCCTAATAAATCATAAAAGCAGGACCTGAACAAATTAAACTATTTCCAGGTAACTAACAGCATCCCAGAACAATGCCTAAGAAGATTTATAGTACTACTAGATGCCAGGTGCACAAAATTCATGCATGGAAGGGGAGTTCCCCGTAGCCCAGTCTGCACCCTCTCCAACCTGGGACCCCTTGGGGGATGTCTGATTGCCAGTTTAGGTCCGATCTCAGTGATTGGGCCTAAGCCGGCAGTCGGATATTCCTCTCACAATCCTGGACCACTTGCTCCTAATTGCTCACCTGCCTGCCTGGTTGCCCCTCACTGCCCCACCTCCCATCCCCATCAGCCTAGTTGCCCCTTACTCCACCCCTTCCACCAGCCTAATCGCCCCCAACTGCCCCCCCCCCACCAACCTGGTCTTCTCCAATTGCACACCCCCCCTCCTGCTGGCCTGGCCGCCCCTAACTGCCTCCCGACCCCCTGCTGGCCTGGTTGTGTCTTACTTCCCTCCTGCTGGCCTGGTCCCTCCCAATGCTGCCCTCGAGCACCTCCCCCTTCCCCCCTGGCCTGGTTGCCCTACGCAGCCTGCTTAATTCAGTCATTTGGTCATCCCTCACTAATCCCCCTGCTGGCCTGGTCATAGGCAGCCATCTTGTGAGTGCATGAGGGTCCATTTGCATATTACCTCTTTATTATATAGGTTAAAAATATCAAGCAGCCAATAGAAATGTAAAAATATTGAGATAAGGTAAAATTCACAAAGTCTGGCATATAAGCAAAGATCGCCAGGTAGCAAAGAGAAAGGAAAACGTAGCCAATAATGAGAATAATCAATCAAAACCACCCAGAGCTACACAGATGTTAGAATTAACAGAGAAATACATCAGAACAGATAGTATAATTATTACATATGTATAAAAGTTAGCTAGCTATTCTAAACTACCCAAATTAAACTTCTGGAAATGAAAATAACATCTGAGATAAACATATTGGATGGGATTAACATCAGCCATTGCAGAAGAAAAGATCATGAAGTTGAAGATACAACAATAAAAACTACAAAGTGAAATAGAGAAAAAGGGAAAAAAAATGTTAATGAAAAGAATATCCAACAGCAACCTCCAGTGGTCTAATGTATGAGTAACTGGCCTCGCCGAAAGAAGAAGAGAAAGGGAGGAACAGGAAAGTACTTGGAAGAAGGAGTGGCCACGCCCTGGCTGCTGGCTCAGTTGGCTGGGTGTGGAACATGCATCACAAAGGTGGTGGGTTTGGTTTCTGGTCAGGCACATGCCTGGGTTGTGGGTTTCGTCCCTGGTTGGGCATGAGTACAGAGGCAGCCATTGATGTTTTGCTCTCAGATTGATGGTTCTCTATCTCTCTCCCCCTTCCTCTCTCTCTACGATCAATTTAAAAACATTTTAAAAAAGAAAGAATTGTCAAAATTTTTTCACACTTGATAAAAACTATAACCTACAAATCTAAGAAACCCTACTCCAGGCATAAGAAACATGCAGAAAACTACACCAGAGGCACATCATAATCAAATTGCTCAAAACCAGTGATAAAATTGAAAACCAAAAAGCAGCTAGCAGGGGCAGGGGGCAGAGACGTTCCGTACATAGGAATAAAAGTAAGAATGGACATCCGCTTTCACTGAATTCAAGTACAAGTGAGAAGACGGTAGAACAGCACTTTTAAAGTACAGAAAGAAAAATTGTCATCATAGCAAAGGTATCTTCTAAAAACAAAGACAAGGTAAGATGTTTTCAGATGAATTCCTGGAAGAATTCATTACCAACTTGCACTATAAGAAATGTTAAGGGATGAATTCAAGCAGATTAAAAATGGTACCAGTTGGAAATCTGGAGCTACACAAAGAAATGGAGATCAAGAAATGGTAATTACATTGATAAACATAAAAGGTTATTATTTTTTTTAATTTATTGATTTTTTTACAGAGAGGAAGGGAGAGGGACAGAGAGTTAGAAACATTGATGAGAGAGAAACATTGACTAGCTGCCTCCTGCACTAATGGGGATGTGCCCGCAACCAAGGTACATGCCCTTGACCGGAATCAAACCTGGGACCCTTGACTCCACCGGCCGACGCTCTATCCACTGAGCCAAACCGGTTAGGGCTAAAAGGGTTTTTTTGTTTTGTTTTGTTTTTTATCAAATTGTTTAAAAGATAATTGAGTGTATACACAAAAATATATAGTGGAGTTTATAGCATACCATGTAAAATGCATGGCAATAATAGTACAAAGATTGGGAAAAATAAATGTAACCACTGTAAGATTTTATACTGTACATGAAGAAGTATACTATAATTGTGGGTTAGAAATGTATACTATAAACTTTAGCAACCACTAAAATAAAAGAACAAAGAGTTATAGTTAATAAGACATCAAAGAATATAAATCATAAAAAACTACTGTATTAATGCAAAAGGAAGCAGGTAAAAAGGAACCAAGAAAAAGGTAGGACAAATATAGAAAACAAATCACAACATGATAATTTAATCATAGCAATAATCACATTAAGTGAAATGCTTAAACACCCCCCCAATTAAAAGGAATTATCAGATTGAGTTAAAAAGCAAGATCCAATCACTGCTATAAATAAAAAGCCAGAAAAAATACTTGGAGTGAAAGATTGAGCAAAGATAACCTTGTGCCAAAACTGGTTTGGCTCAGTGGATAGAGCGTCGGTCTGCGGACTGAAAGGTCCAAGGTTTAATTCCAGTCAAGGGCATGTACCTTGGTTGCGGGCACATCCCCAAGGGGTGTGTGCAAGAGGCAGCTGATTGATGATTCTCTCTCATCGATGTTTCTAACTCTGTCTCTCTCTCTCTTCCTCTCTGTAAAAAATCAATAAAATATATTTTAAAACAAGATAACCTTGTTTCTACTCATCAAAGGGAAGCTGGGTTGGCTATATTAATATCAGACAAAGCAACTTTCACAGCAAGTATTACTACAAAGAAGGTTGTTTAATAATGATAACAGGATAAATTATGCACAAGATGTATTATAATAATCCTAAATGTAATACACCTATTAAAATATCTTAAATAAATACATGAAGCAAAAGCTTATAGAACCAAAAAGTGAAATTAATCCTAAGTGTAGCTGAAGATTTCAACACCCCTCCGCCCCCCAATAATGAATAGAACAAATGGTTAGAAAACCAGCAATGCTATAATGGCTTGAACAAATCCAAGGTCACAAAGATTTAACCCCATGTTTTTATCTAAAAGTTTTATAGTTTTAGCTCTCAAATTCTTTTTTTTTTATTTTTTATTGATTTTTACAGAGAGAAAGAAAGAGGGACAGAGAGCTAGAAACATCGATGAGAGAGAAACATCAACCAGCTGCCTCCTGCACACCCGCCCTGGGGGTGTGCCACAACCAAGGTACATGCCCCTGACCGGAATCAAACCTGGGACCTTTCAGTTCGAGGGCCAACGCTCTATCCACTGAGCCAAAACGGCTTCAGCAGCTCTCAAATTCTTTTTTTTTTTTTTTTTTAATATATTTTTATTGATTTTGTACAGAGAGGAGGGAGAGATAGACAGTTAGAAACATCGATGAGAGTCATCGATCAGCTGCCTCTTGCACACCCCCTACTGGGAATATGCCGGCAACCAAGGTACATGCCCTTGATCGGAATCGAACCCGGGACCCTTCAGTCCCCAAGCCGACACACTATCCATTGAGCCAAACCGGTCTCGGCTCTCAAATTCTTTACATTTAAATTCAGTACCTCAGTGCACTCCCACGTTTCAGGTGCTCCTGTGGCTAATGTTACCACATTGGTCAGCATAGATGCAAAACATTTCCATCAGCACAGGAACAGGAAGTTCTTTTGGACACAAACACCCTCTGTAAGAACATAGAAAATAACTAAGCACTTGAACAGGTGGTTCACAAAGAAGTAAGTGGGCAAGCTCATATACATAAAATTGTTCAGAGTTAAAGAAGTCTAAATTGAAACAGGTAGCATTTTTAGTCCCCCATACTGACAAACTTCCTTCCGGTCTTCACTCAGCAGTCACACCAATGAGGCCTTCCCTGCCCGCCCGCCCTATTTAAAACTTCCAGCCTAACCTCTCCATCTCCTGCCCTTTTTCCTTAGCTCCGCCATCAATAGGCCACGTGCTTAACACACTTCTCTTGTTTGTGGTCAGTCTCTCTTTCCATGTAAAGCCTGTTTACTCTTTATTGTCCTTCCAGTATCTGGAACAGTCCCAGATATAATAGAAACTGGTGTGTGCTGTTGAGAAAGCTGACACGGTATAGAGTGAATGGGCCAGCCATTCTGGAGGTAGCTGTGTGGTATAAAAGCCTCAAATTGCGCTTGCCCTTTGACCCGACTCTTCTCCCTCTAGGTGTTTATCGCATACGGAAGTAATAAAGGATGTGCTGGAAGATTTGGCCACAGTGGGACGCTTTTAAAAAACTCTTGAACTCTGACCTATTGGAAGGAATGTAGATTGTTTTTGAAAAGTGGCAAGAACTATTTTGCAGAATTGGTCAAAAGAGACCTTCCTTTCTCTCCTGACACCTTAGCTTTTAAAAATACTGTTTTGTTACTGACTTTTTAAAACCTACTTCTTTCTAAAGCAAAACTAAAACTACCTATCCAATTTTTCCACAGGTCCCTTAATATGGACTTTGAAAATCAAGATAAAGAGAAAGACAGTAACAGTTCTTCGGGTTCTTTCAGTGGCAACAGCAGCAATAATAGTAAGGCGCCTTATGTCAGTTAACTTTTGTGCGTGTTGTCATTTCAACGTGATTATTTCTGTAACCCAGTTCATCCACTGGGCTCAAGATGTACGTTTGCTGTGACAAAATCTAATCTGTGTGGTATAGTTTATTAGGTTATTATGTTTTGAATCTGAGCTACTGATTGCCTGTGTGCTGCTTTTAACTCCTGCCTAAAAGCTTGCTGCTGGGGTTCTTTATCTTCCCAAAGATAAGCAAGATGGATGACTATCTGCCCGTTTATGACTTCATTTCAATATTTTGTTGAGGCTGATAATTTTGTTAATGAATCATAAATTCATTCAATGACTCTTAAAGATAGCTACTTGAAGTACTTGTAAAAACTAAGTACTGTATCTCTTCTGAATTTAAGATTCTATAAGAATACTTGTTTGAAAAAATACACAGAAGTGTGCTATATGGCAAATGCTCAGCAGCAGCATTCTTAATAGCCAAAAAGTAGAAACAAGTCAAAGATCCATAAGATAGTGAATGGATTAACAGAATATGGTCTATTTATACATGAAATGCTGTTCGGCATTGAAAAGAATGGAGTACACGCTGTACAATGGATGAAACTCAAAACACTGTGTTACGTAAAAGAAGCCAGACAGAAGAGAATACACACTGTATGAGTCATTTATATGAGATTTCCAGAAAGGCACACAGAGAGAGACAGCGTAGCTTAGCGGTTGCCTGGGCCCAGGGGGGAATAGGAGCTCACCTGGCGTGAGGACATCCTCTGAGGGGATGAGAGTCCTAACGCTGTTTTATGGGGATGGTTTCACACTTGGTCAATCACAACAAAAAGTGAATTATACACTCAAACGAGTGAATTTTATAAATTGTACCTCAATATAGTGGTTGAATATTGGTAATGTTTATTATAAAAAGAAAATGAATTAGAAATAAGGAGATTTGGTTTGATAATATTAAGAGATTAGTATTGGATATCTACTACGCATTCAGCATTCTGCTAAGTATATTGAAAGATACAAAAGTGTAAGAGCTGGTTCCCAAGCTGCCCTGGGGTATTGTGGGCAAAATTGTTTCCAAAGATAAAAGCTAAGACAGACATAGCAAACACTGCTCCCCATCTCGTACCCACAGTAATGCTTCTGACCCTTAGCATGGCCTCCGAATCCTTCCGAACAAGCACTTACTATCCACAGATCAGAGGCAGTACCAGAGGTACTTAAAGTCATTTTGACATTTATATACAAAGAGAGGGAAGGAAACCCAGCTGGTGTTGTTCAGTGGTTGAGTGTAGACCCATGAACCAAGAGGTTCCGGTTCTATTCCCATGGGTTGTGGCTCAGTCCCTGGTGTGGGGCATGCTGAGCGCAGTCAATCCATGACACACTCTCATCATTGAGATTTCTATCTCTCCTCCCTTCCTCTCTGAAATCAGTAAAAAATACATTTTTTAAAGTGTGAAGAGAAAGGCAAGTCAGGGTGAGCAACAGTGAGTCAGATTAGTGAGGGGCTCTCTTTCCTAGAAAAGGTGAGTTTGACTTGAAACTTGAATTGGGGGAGAAGTCGTTCCAGGTGGCAAGGACATAGCACAGGCCCGGAGAGCGAGTGTGACCTGCAGGTTAACATCGCCCTGAATCAGGAGGAAACACCAGGGATCTAATACAAAACTAGAAAGAAGGATGGAGGACCTTGGAGGTTAAATTGGAGATCACTTACTCTCTTCTTCAGTTTCTCTAGTTACTGTAATATCCCACCAATGAAGTTATACTTGCCCGTTTTTACCCAGTTAAATGTGTTGTCCCCAGTAGTATAAAGTGGGCATGATAAATGCAGTAAGTAGAATCATTTAAGTATGAGTCTTTTTTTAAACTTATAACATGTAGGAGGTAGAATGCCATACCAATAAATTACCAGGAACCAGGTAAAACCCAATGTCAAGATCTAATTCTCAGGTTAAATTATTAGCAGCTTTGCTATCTATCAACATTTTAAGCCAAATCACTTTATACTCTTGAAACTCTTAAAAATCCTGTGTTATATAACATATATGCAAATGATGTACTTACACTAGATTATAAATCTATTCTAGATTGCAGCACAATTGGCACCACACCTGTTGTTTGATATAATTATTTATGTAAAATAAAATGCCTTATATTATTAAAGATTAAGTGCAATAATATGAAATAGCCTGTACATTTTTAAATGTTGCCAAGTTATGTAAACCGACATCTCGTAAACAACTTTTTTAAAGTAATTTAAAAAAAATAAACACTCTGCTTATTAAAAAAAAAAATTTAAATACAATTTTATCCTCAAATACGTGGTTAAATTAGTCCATTCAGTGGAAAGAAGATACCTGCAACATCAGTTTTTAAATTTTCATTATTAATCAGCATGAAAAAAAAAAACAGGAAATGGTTGTTTAAATGGTCATTTTCTTAAGTCTACCTCCCATGTTATGCTGAATTATCTTCAACAAATGTATTTCTTCAGTGCCTATTCTGGGCCATGGATATCACAGAGATCAGCACAGGTTAAAGCTAGAATGCAGTCCACACTCCACATAAGGAAAGAAATGACCCCCGCAGAGAAGGCCAGTACCTGATTATGGAGCATGCCACCATTCCAGGTTGAAGAAATGGCAGGAAGAGTGGCATGCATTTATCAAAAAATCAAAGAAGTGATCGCCTGAACGATGAACAGAGGAATAGAAGAGATTGTGTAGGTGCTAAACAGATGGCAGTCACAAATGAGCAGCAGTGTAGGATTGGGGAGAAGCATATAAGAAAAGGAAGATATGGATTTAGTGTTGAAATTTTGGCAAGAGCCCTGGCCAGTGCGCCTCAGTTGGTGGGACATTGTCCCACGCAATGAAAGATTGCTAGTTTGATTCCCGCCAGCGCACATGCCCTGGTTTTGGGCTCCATCCCCAGTAGGGGGCGTGCAGGAGGCAGCTAAGATCGATTTTTCGCTCTCCCTTCTTCTCTCTCTAAAAATCAATTTAAAAATCTTTATAAAAACAAAGACTTTGGCAAGAATATTCTGAACCATTTGAAGAAAAGAGTGATAGAGGTTTCTTAAAGATTGTATTTGCTTACTCCCAAAATAAATAAGGATCAAGATATGAAAATCAGTAAACTACAGCTAGGCATAGCAGCATGGATATTTCTCACATTGTTGAGTGCAAGAAGCCAGACACACAAAAATACAAATTACATAATTCCATGTATATATAACTTAAAAAAAACAGGCAAGATAAATATATATTAGTATATTAAGGTGCATGCTTGGGTAGAAAACATATAAAATAAAGCGAAGAAGGAAGAATCGGGGAAAGGCAGCTGGCCCTTTGCAGGGGGGAGAGATGGGTGAGGAGGAGGCACAGGAAAAGCTCCCGGTGGCCAGGCTCTGTCCCGCCGGGGGGCGGCGCCGTGCTCCACAGTCACAGCAGGGAGAGGGCGAGCTCCCCACGGTCCTCTCTGACTTTCCCCCTCTTGCTCTTTCTCATCACTACACCTGTCCCAAGAAGTCTATAAAGATTTTTACCCTGGTACATCAGTCCTTCATTTCATTAGTAGTAAGTGAGGTTTTAAGTGCCCCTCCCTTCCCATTTTCTAATAACGTGAAGACCTTTACTAGGTTTCCCATATAGTTCATTTTAACTGTGAGGACTGATGGAAACATACAGTTGAAATTCTCTTCATTGATAGGGACATACATCTTTATCCCCCCATCTACACTCTGCACTTTGTAAGATCTGGAAACGACTTTTCAAAATTCCTCATGTTGCCTACTATATAATAGGTGTTCAATAAATACTTGGTACAAAATCAGTAACTTTCCTAATTATCAGCAGTACACTGGTGTATTGCTTGATGTCTGTTAATGACCAGACATATAATTAGCCTATAGCCATGTTCACTGAGTGCTAAAAATGTCTCTGTACATGATTTGTAATTCTAACACCAGGCATTTTCCTTTTGTTGATTTGGGGTTTTAATATAATGCAGCTGCACTTAAGTCCTCCTAATTATGGCTGATTTTGGCTAAAATTTTTAATTACTAGCTCCTTCCCCTCAGGACCATTTCTACAGACCTTTAGAAGTGCTGTGTTGAAGCTGTGTACACTGTCTTAGGTAGCATATTGTTGGCAACTAAAGGAGCTTAGCTTGTCATGTGACATTGCTGTTTGGTAAGCTCTCTTGGGCATCCTTCTTTAAAACAAATGGGGAAAGCAGTGTCTAATACCCCAGTTAACAATCTGTGCTTTCAAAAGAAAAAACTGCATTCAATCTAATTCTAGAAAGGTTCTTTGTATTCAGTTTTGCATTTTAATTGCAAAATGAATTTCTAAAATTTAGATTTATTATAAACAAATACTTCTCATGCCTGACTTACTAAATAGTCTTTGTTCTAGCCAGCCATTTAATTTTTCTGTTCATATTTTAAACGAATATAATTAATCTGTAGACTATATAATGCTTTATTTTACAAAAAAGTATTTTAAGATTTATAGATTTTTTTAAAAAGATTTGTTTTTATTACCTTATAATAAAAATCATTCATTTGAGAAACCATTATTTTCTGTTGTGAAAGGCACTTAAAATTTTGTAGTTTCCTATGGTAGAACACTAAAAACAAATATCACAAAACTAAGTGAAATATAGTTAGAGATTTCATAGAGTTTTGTCTTATAAATGTCCGTAAGCTACCCCCTCCCCCCAGCTCCACCAAATGGTCCATGTGTTCTACTGACATATAGCATAGACTTCTTTTCCAGGTCATTTCTGTTTGTCCTTTTTTTTTCTCTTTTTTTTTTTAATATATTTTTATTGATTTTAGAGAGGAAGGGGGAGACAGAGAGAGAGAGAGAGAGAAACATCAATGATGAGAAAGAATCATTGATAGGCTGCCTCCTGCACGCCCCTTACTGAGGATTGAGCCCGCAACATGGGTATGTGCCCTGACTGAGAATTGAACATTTCCGATGTTCTACCCACTGAGACAAACTGGCTGGGGATAAATGATTGATTGATTGATAGATTTTATTGATTTCAGAGAGGAAGGGAGAGGGGGAGAGAGAGAGAAACATCAATGATGGTTGCATCAGTGGATAGAACATCGGCCTGCGGACTGAAGGGTTCAATTCCGGACAAGGGCATGTACCTCTGTTGCAGGGACATCCCCGGTGGGGAGTATACAAGAGGCAGCTGATTGATGTTTCTAACTCTCTATCTCTCTCCCTTCCTCTCTGTTAAAAAGTCAATAAAATATGTGTTTTTAAAAAAAAAAAAAAAAAAGAAAGAAAGAAAAAAAAATCAATGATGAGAAAAAAATCATTGATCGGCTGCCTCTTGCACACCCCCTACTGGGGATCAAGCCCACAACACTGGCATGTGCCCTTGACTGGAATCGAACCCAGGACCTTCAGTTTGCAGGCCAATGCTCTGGGGCTTCTGTTTGTCTTGACATATAGATCATTCTTCCTAAATTGAATTATTCTCTTCCTAAGTGAATTATTTGACTCATACACCCAGCTAATAGAAGCAATTTTGTTTTGTAAAATACTTAATGTTTTATTTCACCAAAATCCCTAAATAATGTCCTTGGGGATGGGTAAGTTTACCGAAAACAATTTTTAAATGTTGGTTGATAATTGCAACCTTTTGTGTCTAGTTATGTTCATCTGGGCTTGAGCCTGGGCATTGTAATTGTTTTTAAGCTCCCCAAGGTGATTCTTATGATCAGCCAAGAACAGAGAACCACTGTGCTACATACTTACTATTTGTTCCTTAAAATGTTCCCATAAGATAATTTTTCTGATTTGCTGTTTTCAGATGTTATGTTCTCTTCCTTTCCCCACCCCCAGTCAGTCCTCAACTGTTAGCAACAGTGAGGAAGATTGTTAACATCAGTACATTAAACCCCAGATGATGAGAAATAATTTCAGTCAGTGGTTTAAACTGCCTTTTACCAAGCCTATATACAAGACCCCAAATGTACTCAGATTGGCAAATCTGAATGCTTACTACCTTTGAAAGTTCTTAATTTCGTTTCTGTTTTTGTTCTTGGCACCCTGTCACCAAGATCGTTAGTACCTCAGTTCAACAAGTATTTTTTGAGCAGCCTCTAGAAGGAAGGCATTCTAAGGAGAGCAAGTAGTTTATAATTGCATCGGGCAAGAGAGATTTAGGAGGCCCACAGAATCTATACCTTATATACCAGTCCCTAGAACTGTCTGCATTCTAATAAGTTAATGTATCTAACGTACGTGGCATGCTATACGTTAATATGTCACTTTTTCTCTCTTTTAGGTATCCAAACTATTGACTCTACCCAGGCCCTGTTCCTTCCAATCGGAGCATCTGTCTCTCTCCTAGTTATGTTCTTCTTCTTTGACTCAGTTCAAGTAGTCTTTACAATATGTACAGCAGGTAAATTAATTTCTGTCTATTTCTTAACATTAATCTAAAAGGAAATGTGTTCTCCATTTTTTATCATCATTCAAAGGTTAAGATTTACTAGGATACACTGTGCCATCCATCAAGTGTTTCTTTATGAGTCTGGCTTTTCCTCCCCTCCCTCCTCCTTGAGCCACTTGAGCCACATAGTTCAAACCTGCCAGCATCATCTGAACACAAGGCCGGGGATTGAAACCTCGTGAGCTTTATGACACCAGGACAGGATCACTTTGTCTGGTCGGTTACCAGAAAGCCCAGTTTGGCTCAGTGGTCATTGGCAACCCTTCCTGACGTTTCCACAGGTAGAAACACTGATATCTAATCAAGGTAATTCGACTGTCCGCTCTCTGATCAGTGTTTAAGCTAAGCAATGATGTGTAATATATGAACAAAATGCTAGACTTGTTAGGGGATGATACCATGGCCCACTATTTATCTTTTCTTGTTGAGATAGAAGAAAATGAGAAAATCTACCTATGCCTCCCCTACTTCATTCAAATCAGGCACTTTTTTTTTTTCTTTTTAAGAGCTTATCTGTGATGCTAAAGGAAAATACTTTCTTCTCTGGTTAATTTGATTGTATCTACTTGCCAAGAAAAGTTTCTGGGAAATGATTAAGTTTCCATAAGTCATTGCCATTTTTTATAATGGAAAAATAAATCACACACAACAAAATTTATACATTTTCTCTCTGTAGTTCTTGCAACGATAGCTTTTGCTTTTCTTCTTCTCCCGATGTGCCAGTATTTAACAAGACCCTGTTCACCTCAGAACAAGTAAGTTGGAAATTTCCTCTAAATTATAAACTTGTAATTTTCCCCCCACTCTTATTAGCATTATTAGGCGTCTAATGTTTTTTTAATTTTTATTGATTTGAAAGAGATTTGTTCCACTTATTTATTCATTCATTAGTTACTTCTTGTATGTGCCCTGACCAGGGTTAAAACCCACAGCCTTGCATATTGGACGGCACTGACTAAGCTGCCTGGCCAGGGCCAGGTCTCTATTTCTTATTCGTGTGTTGACTGGAGTGCACACATGCTAGAGAACTGGGGAGTGAGATGTTTGATTTTTAAAATTGGAAGATGGTAGCATTTCCTTTTGTACCTTTTCATAGCAGAGGAAATATAAACAAATGCCAGGAAGTCAGAGTCATTGTAATATGCTTCCTTCTAGCTTATTGAAAGATGAGACTTTTCCTTTTTAAAGCAACGCTTTCATTCTTTTACTAGTGAGTTAGTGGAATATTCTGACATTCTTTGCCTTCTATCTTTGGTGACCTAGAATCACTTAGGTTTAATCCTGTTGTTCACACCTTAACTCCCACAGCTATTGCTCCATGGAAACAGAGGTCTGTTGTTGGTGGAGATGCTGTATGCACTTAGGAAACAATCACTTGGGACAGCTAATATTCCCAGGAATTAGTGATAATCAGATAGATTTATGTACACTAATAAAAGAGAAACATGCTAATTGACGATCCCTCTGCTACACAAACCACCAGCCAATCAGGAGAGAGTATGCAAATTAACCTAACAAAGATGGCAGTGGCCACAGAGTTGGAGTGAGCAGGGGGCTTGGGTTGCCCCCGGTAACAGAGGAAGCCAAACTTCCCGCCCGCCTGCCTTGGCTGCTGCTCAAGGAATGGCTGGAGAAAATAAAAAGGAAGGGCTGGGAGCCTTAGTCGCTGAGGGGCATGGCCAGCCTAAAAACAGCCCTCAGCCCCTTACCCTGGCTGGCCAGGCACCCCAGTGGGGACCACCACCCTGAAGGGGGTGTGGCCAACCTGAAAACAGCCCTCAGCCCCTTATGTAGGCTGCCCCCACACCCCAAGGGAACCCCACCTTGATCCAGGACACCCTTTAGGGCAAACCAGCCAGCCCCCACCCATGCAGCAGGCCTCTTTACTAATAAAAGGACAATATGCTAATTAGACTAGGAGACCTGGTGTTCTTCTGGACAAAATCATGGTGGTGAAGCTGAGGTAGAGACAGTTAGAGGTCAAGAGGGGAGGACAGTTGTAGGTGATCACACTGGCGGGGGGTGGGGAGCAGTTGGAATGAGAAGACTAGCAGGGGGGCCAGTTAGGGGCAAGCAGGCTGTCAGTGGGGGCCAGTTGGGGGTGATCAGGACAGCAGTAGGGGGCAATTTGGAGTGAGCAGGCCATCAGCTGGGAAGTTGGAGCGAGCAGGCCATCAGGGGGGCAGTTGGAGGTGAGCAGGCCAGCAGAAGGGGCATTTGAGGGTGAACAAGCCAGTTTGCAGAGTGGTAGGGGCAGGCAGGTAGGCAGGCATGTGAGCGGTTAGGAGCTAGCAGTCCCAGATTGCGAGAGGGATGTCTGACTGCCGGTTTAGACCCATTCCCTGTAAACCGGCAGTCGGACATCCTTCGAGGAGGGTGCAGGCAGTCGGACATCCATATCGGAGAGGGTGCAGGCCGGGCTGAGGGATACCCCCCATCCCACCCTTGTGCAAAATTTTGTGCACCGGGCCACTCATTATCTTAGAAGTATTAATTCATCCTTGCTAAATGAATTGAATTATTAACATTCTTCAATGTCTTCCTCGTATAATAGGATTTCCCCTGTACTTAGAATCTTCAAAGATTGATGTTGTCACTTTAAACTTCTAAAAACCCATGTTGATAATTTGGGATAAAAAGTACATTATCAGCCCTCGCTGGTTTGGCTCAGTAGGATAGAGAGAGCGTTGGCCTGCCGACTGAAGGGTCCCAGTTTCAATTCTGGTCAAGGGTACATGCCATGGCTGTGGGCTCGATCCCCCATAGGGGGCGCACAGGAGACAGCCAGTCACTGATTCTCTCTCATCATTGATGTTTCGATCTCTCCCTCTCCCTTCCTCTCTGAAAATAAAAAAAATAAAAATAAAAAGACTTTTTTTTTAAAGTATATTATCAGATGGGTTCAGAAATATAATTCTCTAATCTCATTGTAGTTTAAGAGGTTTGGTTATTTTTATAGCCAGGTGTATAGATACTTGCCTCCTACTCTAATCTGGCCCTAGTGAACTCGGATCGTGAAGAACCAGAAGAGAGCTTGGTTAGGGAATGAAATGTATTGCTCGTTAGGCCACTAAATGTCATGTGTTCCCAGGATTTCCTTCGGTTGCTGTGGGCGTTTCACTGCTGCTGAGCTCCTGTCCTTCTCTCTGTCTGTCATGCTGGTCCTCATCTGGGTTCTCACTGGCCACTGGCTTCTCATGGACGGTGAGTAACTAACATGTGGTAAGTTAAACTCCAATATAGTTTATAGGTAGTTAAATTGGGTCCCCCTTCCTCTGCTATCTGTGTATCAGTCATACTTCCTTTGATTACCATGAATATTAGTAATCCAAAGGTAGTGAGTGTTACGTATCATTGAGTTTTTTATTATTTTTACCCACATTTTAAAGATTTTTTAAGAAGACCTTTTTTAAGATATAATTCACATACATACCACATACAATTTACCTATTTAAAGTGTATGACTCAGTGGGTTTTGGTATAATAACAGAGTTATACAACCATCACTACAGTCGATTTTAGTGCATTTTTATCACCCAACCTCTAAAACCAGTTGCCAACCGGTGGTCCGCGAGGCCCGAAAAGTTAGCGACCGCAGCTTTACAACACATGCCCAGTATCAGTCACTTCCCCGGGCCCACCTCCACCCAGGCCAGCCACCAGTCACCACTAGACCACTTTGTGTCTGAGTTTGCCTCTTCTCAACAGTTCAAAACCAAGGATGCTGTCCCGCACATGGCCAAATTGGATAGAATTTAACAAAAGGGATTTTAAATTCTATTTCTCCCCTTGTAATCCAGAATCAATAATATATTCTTAATAGAGAAGAAATTTTAAACCTAAGGGAAACTAAAATCTTACCTTCTATTTCAAGATATTTTTCTCTCTCATAAGTTATTTTAACCAGTGTAAGGACTTGAAATTTATATGTATGAAATTAATTAATGAATAAACTCTAAGAAACTGCATATTAATAGGGAAGAAGCTATAGAGTGGATTGTAAGTTCTGTAAAATTATATTTGAATGGCATGTTATTTTAATCAAAGGTGATAATTACAAAAAAGGTACTTTTTAAAAAATATATGACATTTATTTTTTAAATATGTTTTTTGCTTAAGAAAATAAAATCATAGTGATTGAGAATAGATCAGTGGTTGCTGTGGTTCTATGAATATAAAGAAATAACAGGAATTTTATTGGTGTGGTACAGCTGTTCCATACACTGAGTGTGGTGATAGTTCTATAAAACCATTAGAATTTACAGAATCATACATCTAAAGAACAACTCAATTTTACTGTTTGATAACCTTAAAAGTTTTAAACATATATATTTGTAACTATATATCATTTGTTTGTATATATTTGTTGTCATAGTTGTTGTTCAAATTTTTTTGAGAGCTTATCATATACCAAATATTCAAAGTCAAAAGCGGTTCCTTGAGGTCCCAGGCAGATTAACCTTCAGACTGACATACAGTCTTTAAAGACTCAGGATGGGAGGGCTGAGTCAAAGCCACCAGTGCCTGCTCCCTGCTGGGATTCACCTTTGCTGATTTACGACAGCTTTGGTGGTATTTTAGCATCATACATTGCCGTATAAAAATGTTTACTGTGATCATCTGCGTCAGTGCTCTGGTGCCCACTGTGCGTGTAAGCATTCTGAAGCCGGTGTTTGAAGTGTTCGAGTGGTTGTCAGAACTAAATTGAGTGTCGGTGCTTTCGGTGTCCTTAGGAATTGGTGTTCACTGCTTCTGGAGGTTGAAAAAGAGTGAGTTGAGAAACAGACATTACATCCAAGAGTCCACGAGCTGCCCGCCCCGCCTGTGGGCGAGGGCAGTGTCTGTTTTAGGTGCTGGTGTACTGGTGTTGAGAGTGATGCCGTGGCAGGTGTGTTTTGACTTTTCCTGCGGGTACATCTTGATTTCTGTAGCAGAATGATTGAATTAATAGCACAGGTATAAATTGAGCACTTACTTTATCCACCTACACAAACGTTATGTGAAATGAGACGATGAAGCTTCAGGTGCCACTTTTTCACCTAGAGTGAACTGCCTATATAATAAAGTGATAATATGCAAATTGACCATCACACCCTCACAAAGACTGCTGCCTTCGACCAGGCTGGCAGAGGGGTTAGTGAGGGATGAACAAGCAACTGAACAGCAGACTGTGAGGGGTGAGCAGGCCGGCAGTTGGGGGTAATTAGGCTAGCCAGGGGGACAGTGCGGGGTGACTAGGCTGGCAGGGGGCAGTTGGGGACAACCAGGCTGACGGGGGGTGCAATAAGGGGTGACCAGGCCAGCAGAGCGGGGGGGGGGAAGACAGTTAGGGGAGACCAGGCAGCCAGACGAGCGATTTGGAGCCAGAGGTCCAGGATTGTGAGAGGGATGTCCCACTGCCTGTTTGGGCCTGAGGCCTAAGCAAGCAGTCGGACAACCCCCAAGGGGCCCTGGGTTGGAGAGGTGCAGGCTGGTCTGAATGGACCCTTCTCCCCCGTGCATGAATTTTCTGCACCAGTCCTCTAGTAAAGCAATAATCACCCACCCAGGCCGAGGCCAGTTTGGCTCAGTGAATAGAGCATTGGCCTGCGGACTGAAGGGTCCCGGGTTCGATTCCGGTCAAGGGCATGTACCTTGGTTGCAGGCACATCCCCAGTGGGGGGTGTGCAAGAGGCAACTGATTGATGTTTCTGGCTCTCTCTCTCCCTTCCTCTCTGTAAAAATTCAATAAAATATATTTTAAAAAAATAAAAATAATCACCCACCCAGGACTAATAGGTCTCTCTGCTAGCAGATTCAGATCCATATGGTAACAAAGGATGCTTTAAGTACTCTTGTAGTCTGAGCTTCTCTAATCCCCTACTAACTTTTGGTGGTTCTGCTTTTGTGGAACTTTTTATTCATGTGTCCAGACAAGGGTTTTAAGTTTACTAAGTGCTGACCCAAAAAAAATCAGATATCTCTCAAAACAGCAAGCAATGTGTTGTTCATACTCTCATTTTTACTCTCCCTACGCAATGAATAGAACAGATAAACACCTATTTGTTCAGCAAGGTTAACATAAACCCTGTCTGGGAGATTTTTACATCATTTTCTGTCATTATTGCTATTTGCCAATATTTCTTCTTCCTACCAGATTGCACTGGTTAAACTTCCCTTGTGAACAAGTATAGAATTTTTCCTCAAAAAAAAGGGGTGGGGGGGCGGACAGAGGCTCTTGCAGTTTTCCAAGTCCAGTCGAATAAGGCTGTCTCCTGGCATAGATACAGCTGATCCTCACACCCTACAACTCAGGGAAGCAGCAAAAATGCCGAGACAAGGAAACAGATCACAAACAGAAGAAATGGAGGACAAAAAGCGACTGGATATAGAGTTCAAAACCACACTTATAAGGTTGTTCAAGAATCTCCTAGAAAAAGCCGATAAAATAAACAAGACCTATGAAGGTATGAAAAGGGATCAACTAGAAATAATAAAGGATCAACTAGAAATAAAGAATACATTCTCTGAAATAAAAAATATTATACAGAGTCCTAAAAACAGAATGGAAGATTGCAAGAATCAAGTCAAAGATTTGGAACACAAAGAGCCAGAAGACACTCCTCCATGGAAGCAAGAAGACAAGAGAATCCAGAAAGTTGAAGATAATGTAAGAAACCTCTGGGACAACTTCAAGCGAACCAACATCAGAATTATGGGGGTCCCAGAAGATGAGAGAGAGCAAGATACCAAAAACATATTGAAAGAAATAGTGACAGAAAACTTCCCCCACCTGGTGAAAGAATTAGACTTAAAAGTCCAGAAAGCACACAGAACCCCAAACAAATGGAATCCAAAGAGGACCACACCAAGACACATCATAATTAAAATTCCAAGAGCAAAAGACAGAGAATATTAAAAGCAGCAAGAGAAAAGCAGGTAGTTACCTATAAAGGAGCACCCATACGATTGTCAGCTGATTTCTCAACAGAAACCATGCAGGCCAGACGGGAATGGCAAGAAATATTCAAGGTGATGAATAACAAGAACCTACAGCCAAAAATACTCTATCCAGCAAAGCTATCACTTAGAATCAAAGGCTAGATAAAGAACTTCACAAATAAAAAAAGCTAAAGGAGTTCATCACCGCCAAACCAGAATTATATGAATTGCTGAAGAGGGTTCTTTAGGAAGAGGAAGAAAATAAAGATATGTAACTATCAACCAGTGAATCTAAAATCCAAGGGAATTAAAAAACCTGATGAAAAATATTAACTGTTAAATATAATAGAATCAGAGGTACGGAAGGGGAGTGGACTGACGATTCTCGGGGGGGAAAAGGGGAGTGGGGGGTGCGGGAAGAGACTGAACATAAACTGTGCGCCTATGGATGAGGACAGTGGGGGGTGGGGAAAGGGCAGAGGGTGGGGTGGGAACCTGGTGAAGGGGGAAAAAAATGAACTTTTGTAATATTATGAACAATAAAGATTTATTTAAAAAAAAAAAGGGGGGGGGAGGCCTTTGAGCTTTTTAATTGTTTTTCAGATTTGTGACTGTATGTGCTGACTTGTTTTCTCCTCTTATAAAGCTTTCTAGCCACAGTCTTAACATTCTCAGATAGGTTTTTCTCTGATGTAGAAATTATCTTTCCAAACTTCTCTGCAGAATCAGAAATCATCTTGTAGGCAGTGATTTGGTAGTCATGTTTTTTAAGTGAGTGTTTCTTTGCAATTAATTTAAAGTGAAAACAGAATGGTTGTTTTAGGGCCAGGCATGATGTATATTTTCAGGGTTATACTAAGAAGCATTAATATTAAGAAGGAACTTCAAAATTTTCTTGAACTAAATCTAGAGCTTTTTTTTTTTTTTTTTTTTTAATATATTTTATTGATTTTTACACAGAGAAGAATTGAGAGGGATAGAGAGTTAGAAACATCGATGAGAGAGAAACATCGACCAGCTGCCTCCTGCACACCTCCCACTGGGGATGTGCCCGCAACCAGGATACATGCCCTTGACCGGAATCGAACCCGGGACCTTTCAGTCCGCAAGCCGACGCTCTATCCACTGAGCCAAACCGGTTTCACTAGAGCTTTTTTTTTTTTTAACTTACTCTGTTTCATCTGGTAAATTCACTTATGATTGGGAAGCTTTAAAGGGTTTGCCCAACAGGTGGAGTGGAGTGTGAGCGAAAAGCTGGGGAGTCTGGTGCACACATACCGAGTGCTCAGGGATCGTGTGACCGGGTCACAGTCTGCTCCCTGACCCGCTCAGAGACCAGAAGAGTCCTCACAGATGTCTAGCCAGCCCTTCACTCCTCCGCACTGGCTGCTAAGTATGATTAAAAAATGTTTAGTGTCAGAAATCTAGAAGTCAGTTTTTTGTTTTAAAATACTGGACTCTGGCACTCAGTCCACATAGAGCTTAGCAACCTAGAGATCTTAGAAGCAAGACGGCTCCAGACCTTACAGGTTACATAAGCCTTTTCCAGAGCATTTAAGCTCCGTTTGGTGTCACTGTCTTTGTCCCGCCCCTGCTGGTTGTGGGAGACAAGGTGATAGCAGAGATTACATCAATAATAAATTGGAAGTAATTACAGTAGCTAAGCTTATTAATTTACTTCCCTAACACTGTTGCTTAATTTATGTTGAACCAAAAGGTAAGTTTGTCGGTCAAGCTATTAGGGCGAGTGTTGGGAGTTCCCCAAGCGGTGCGGCGCAGGGGAAGGGACCATCTCTTCACGTGGGCTCGGGAAGCCTGAGGAGAAGGTGAGAGTGCTCGGTTCCTTGATAGAAAGAAAGACAGACAAAAAAGAGAGCAAACCAGATGAGTAGTTGTTTCAGTGGTAAGACAGCTGGTAGCAATACCCATTTGGGAGTAGGCGTGATACTCATTCAAGAGACTCATATTAAGAACTTCTCTGAAGCGCTCAGGGTGCTTCCTGCCCTTTCAAACAAGGAACCTCGGGGACAGTGGGAGACGAGGCTGGCCTGGAACGAGGTATTGCTCCCTGGAGAGGAGAGGGTGAAGAGGAGTAGCCCGGCCGGCATGGCTCCGGCTGAGCGTCAGCCCGTGAACCAGGGGTCAGGGTCTGATCCTGTCAGGGCACAGGCCGGGGTTGAGCTCGATCCCCCGTGGGGGCGTGCAGGAGGCGATCAGCGATTCTCTCTCATCGCTGATGTTTGTTTCTCCCCTCCCTCCTGTCTCTGAAATCTATTAAAGAAGGAGAGAGAGAAAGTAAAGAACGATCCAGGGGATGGAGCCTGCGGCCACGCCTGGGTGCACAGCGCTGCGTGTGAGCCGGGCCGGGGCGGCGGTGGGCAGGCCTGACCCACCTCAGAGGAGGGGCCGGGGGGCTGGAGGCCGGTTACAGTGGAGGGAGAGGAGTGGGGGAAGCTGACCAAGGTTTGCGGTAACAATAAGGACCACACCACACAGTGGCTACGCAGTGAGTGTACAAGCATGAAAGATGTGATAAGTTGAAAATGAACCCAGAGTTTCTTGTTTGGAAGCTTAGAGAAAGAATGACATTGTCTACAGCCGTGATTTCCAACTGGTGTGCTGCAAGGATTTTTAAAACATGCGGTGCCTGACTGTTAGGGGCACTGACCTCTTTTCCCTTAGATTGTCAAATTAACAAATGTCAACAACCAACAGCTGTCAGTGTGAATGAGTCAAAATTATACCAATTTTTCTTGTCAGATTGGCAAAAAATATATTTTTGGGTGTGCTGCAGAAATGTAGTAATTAGTTATGGGTGCCAGGAGATGAAACGTTGGAAAATCGCTGGTCTAGAGGCGTGGGAAGTTCTGTCACTGCGCGGTTGTGTGTCAGTGCCTGGTCTGACCTCGGAGAGCGGGGTTAGCATGATGAGTGATTAGCGTGAGTGATGCGTGGAGACCTGGAAAGGTTCCTGCTGGCTTAGGGTTGAGCGATGGAATGGTAAACTGAACAGAAAAGTTCTGAATGGACCGGCTGCTGCATGTGTGGGAGGCATATGCTTTTTACCTTGGGAGCCTGCCCTTTGCTTGTCTGCCCAGTGGGTTCCGTGCCCTCTGTGAGTTAGCAGCAGTCAGTCCTCTGGCCCACCCTGCCCACCCCGGGTCTTCATTTCTTCCTTTGGTCCCTCACGCTTCCCGCTCCGTGTGCTCACTTTAAGTTCCTGGAAAGATCACTTCTTGCTACCCCACACCGTCACTCAGCCAGAGTCCTAGTTTGGTCTGGTCTCTGGCCGTTAGTTCCCAGCCTGTCCGGGCTCCCTTCCTCCGCTGGCCTCTCGTGTCCCTCCAGCCAGCAGAGCGTGTGCCTGCGGGTTGTCTATTGACAGCACAGCCGACCGTCTGTTTCCGGGAAACCTCGTTACTAAAAAATTAGAGTGGGTTCATTGTAAGTGGCCTTAAGTACATTTCTTAGCGCCTTAAACAGATTTCAGCTTGCAACTTGAAAAGTTTGAATCTTTGCAAAGCCTGATTGGCTAATATAGTCCATTATATTCCTTTGAAATGGCATGAATTGGCATATTTTACCAGTTTGGTTCTGAAGGAGACCCTAGTAAAATGAGCATCGTAGATTACTGTAAGTCGGGCTTTCGGTCTTTATCACAGCTCTCCAAAGTACACACTGGAGCCCTGTGTGCCTGATAGCAACGACAGGAGGAAGAGAGAGAGCTTTCTTCCTAATGTTACTGTTCTTCCAACCCCTCTCTGTTGTGGGGACGGGAATTCTTTTTCTCTTCTGTTTATGCGACACCATGGCTAAAGCAGGAACCCGTGAAATATTAGTTGAATTGCTACCGCCTGGGTGTGCCCAGCCGTTAGACGGGGCCTCATTTTAGTAGCTCACAGATGCTGCCCTCCACCAGCTGAAAGAATGGCTCTTTCTTTCCGGGCTCACTTTATGTGGTAATCTGGGACCTAACACAATGCCTCTCAGATATGCCTGTATCTGCCCACTTTGCTACATACACTGACAACTTACCAACATTTTAAAACGATACATGCCTGTAATAATGACTTTACTTGCTTCTCTTAGACTAATTTGGAATTTGAAGCTGATAGAACATAATTTTTCATTTATTCAGCAAATATTTGTTGAACAAATAAGCCATGGTTTCTGTTTACTAGGACCACACAGCTTAGGGAATAACGACGTGGGTATAAATAACTAGAGGCCCAGTGCCTGGAAATTCATGCACTGGTGGGGGGAGTCCTTCAGCCCGGCCTGCCCTCTCTGTCCTGGATCCCTCAGGGGCCGAAGGCGACCTGGCCGCCAGGGAAGGCGACGCCTCCATCCACCTCTGCTGCTGCTGCCCCTGCAGGCAGAGCGAGTCTTGGCTGGTCCTGGTCACTGAGCCTTGGCGGCTGCCGTCTGAGGCAGCTGTGGGCGGAGGGGACGGGGGGATCCGGAGGCAGGCACGTGGAGCGGCGGACCCTCCTGGGGGCGGGCCTGGTCGTGCTGCCCACCTGCTGCCCTGGCAGCGCTGAAGGGACTGGATGCTACCATTTGTAGCTGTGGGTGCCGCCATCTTCGAGGGCGTAGCAATCGATTAGCATATTCCCTCCTTATTGGCTGTGGGTGCTGCCATCTTTGAGGGCATGATGGGTAATTAGCATATCCCTCTTTATTAGATAGGATGGTACTATTGTAAAATGGACGCAAAGAAAACAGCAACTTAATTTGGCCAGGCCAGGAAGGGCCTTCTGTCCTGGCCTCTTAAGAACGAGGATGAATTTTCCAGGGAAGAAGCCCCGATCAGGGCCCTCTGGGCAGAGCAGGAAAGAGCATGGTATGTGCAGAAAGGTACGATCACATGTGACATGGTATGTGCAGAACGGTACGATCACGTGTGACATGGTGTGTGCTGAACAGTACAATCACATGTGACATGGTGTGTGCTGAACAGTACGATCACGTGTGACATGGTGTGTGCTGAACAGTACAATCACATGTGACATGGTATGTGCTGCACAGTACGATCACGTGTGAGTGGCCTCGGAGCAGAGGGCGGGCTCACTGAGGGCAGGCTGCACAGCGGAGAGTGCCCTCCGGTTCCTTCCCACAGGGCCTGCTGAGCAGCTCCCCTGGCATCCCCCTCACTGGGAGCCCACAGGAAGTCTAGGCACCAGCCTGTTCTCAGGCCGGAGGGAGGGAGCTGAGGGCAGGGAGAGACATGCATCTGCCAGGCCGTCAGACTCCGGGATGGAGGAAGCCTTGTCCTCGAGGACCTTCCCTTTCGTTCGGAGGAGAAAGAAGTTTAAAAAGGACACGTCGTGTACCAGGTTTTGAGAGGTGCAGGGACAGAGGCATGAGCCCTGGGACAGAGCCCTGAGTAAAGGAAAGGGGGTGCCATAGAGGGTGGATTAACTTGAAAGCAAAGAGCAAGGATGATGACTCTGCAGTAATGGGGAGGCAGGAGATGGAGGCCAGAGGCCCAGGGCGGGCCTGTCTTGGCGCTTTATCAGAACAAGAGCCTCCTGGGTCTCACAGGGGCACGTTACAGTGTGAGAGAAGGGATCCCCCAAATAGCAGCAGGTCACAGTGGGCTGACGCGGGCACTTTTGCCCTGTGGGGTGTAATTCTTAGCCAGAGCTGAAGGCTGCCTGCTTTTTGAGGGCGCTTACAGCGTGGTTGGATTGACAAGCTGAATAGCCTGTACTGCACACTGACGGCCGTCTCCTCCCCAGCCCTGGCCATGGGCCTCTGTGTCGCCATGATCGCCTTCGTCCGCCTGCCCAGCCTCAAGGTCTCCTGCCTGCTGCTCTCAGGGCTCCTGATCTATGATGTCTTTTGGGTAAGTGTCTGTGGACGCACTGCTCTCCTTGGTGTGTAATTGGAGTCAAGCATCTAGAGTCTCCTGTCTAAGGCCACTCCCGCCAGGCCTGAGCCTGCAGCTGGTTGACATGTGTTACAGAAGACAATACGTGTGATAGTTATGGTGGGAGAGGGAGTAGGCAAAATTCTCTGCCTTCAAAGTGTGCAGCCAAGAAAGCTTGAGGCCCTAGCCGATTGCTCAGTGCGTCGAGCATCAGTCCGAAAAGTGAAGGGTCCCAGGTTCGATTCCGGTCAAGGGCAGGCGCCTTGGTTGCAGGCTCCATCGTCGGCCCTGATGTGCAGGAGGCAACCAATCAATGTCTCTCACATCGATGTTTCTCTAAAAATCAGTGGGAAAATATCCCCAGTTGAGGATTAACAAAAACAAAGACTTGCTGTTACAGTTTTCTGCAGTTCTGCTCTTATGAACAAAGGGGCAGGTTGCTTCTAACCCCCTCTCTTAAAAGAGACTCTCCCTTCGGCAGGTGTTTTTCTCCGCCTACATCTTCAATAGCAACGTCATGGTGAAGGTGGCCACCCAGCCGGCTGACAATCCCCTCGATGTGCTTTCCCGGAAGCTGCACTTGGGGCCCAATGTTGGGCGTGACGTTCCTCGCCTGTCTCTGCCTGGAAAGCTGGTTTTCCCCAGGTAGGACTGACATGCAAGACCCATGCACTTCCCGTGCCTTCTTACTGGTCTTTGTGAGCCAGTCTAATCCTAGAGGGAAAGGGTGTGAGTCAGCATCTCCATCTGACAAACGAGGAAGGGAATGTTGACTTGACTTACAAAGGTTTATCAGTAAGGAGTGCAGGTGCTGTTTTTATTATTGATTAATGTTATCAAATAACCACAGGTTACCACTGTTAATTCTCTCCAGCCAACTTCAAAATATATTAACGTGATTCTGGATCTTTCTATGTCTAAGACATTTGTAAAAATACGTCCTAATGCTTAAATTATGCCATTCCTGGTAATAGGACCTGGAAACAATGTGTTGCTTTAGTCTCCTGTGTCTGGTGGTCGTTGGGTGCCTATTGGACGTCTCAGAGTGAAGGTGTGACGGTGAATTGCTTGGCATTTCTAGAGACGGCAGTGTTGGCAGTCACCTACAAGGTGCTCTCGAAGCACTGAGGGGCAGGGGAGGACTTTATTGCTAGTGCTCTTGTGGCTTTCAATCTCTAAACTCTTAACCCTAAGAAGCAACCTGTAGAGATGCCCATCTTCCGTTCCGATGCGTGCTCTGACTTCTTAAAGCTGGCAGACTGCCCAGAGGAGGAGAGTGGGGTTTACAGCGTGGCCTCCCTGACCTCTGACCCTGCCTTCCAGCTCCACTGGCAGCCACTTCTCTATGCTGGGCATCGGAGACATTGTGATGCCCGGACTCCTGTTGTGCTTTGTCCTTCGCTATGACAACTACAAAAAGCAAGCCAACGGTGACTCCTGCGGCGCCTCTGGACCTGCCAACATCTCTGGGCGCATGCAGAAGGTCTCCTACTTTCACTGCACCCTCATCGGATACTTTGTAGGTAAGAGAGACTCGGACACTGCATTTGGATCTTCTTTCTGGCTCCTCCCCCTGGAATTAATCAGTCTTCCAGCTGCAGGCCCTGGACGGAAGGAGAGCAGCTGTTAATAGACAGCCACCCAGGAAAGCACCCCCAGCCCATGAGGTGATAGGTGCTGACTGACTGGCCAGCCTGGTTTGCTGTCTGAAGAGCATTGTAATAAGAGTACGGTTTGGCCTCAAAGCCAAGAACACCTACCACATAATGGACATGGCTCAGTCTCTATGCTTAATTAAAAATCTCAGGCTTATTGAAGCCATGTATATGTCCCTTCATTTGTTCTGTCCCTTCGGACTCTCCTAGGCTCTCTTCTCCAGCCCGCTCACTACAGGCAGGCCCGCCACTGCCCTGCCTCCTGCAGCGCGGCTCTGGTTCCATCGCACCCCGTGTGCACGGTGCATTTCCGCCCCAGACTGCGGGGCCGAGCAAAGGTGCTGCCCCGTCAGCAACTGTCGGGCGGCTCCAAGAGGCGGAATGCCTTCACCGAGGTTACAGAGCTTTGGGAGTAGCAGAGTGGAAACTTGAACCCAGGTCTTTTGCTTCCAAGTCTAACATCACATACCACAGGAGGAGAGGGAGGCCAGGCACACTCAGGGCTGAAGTGGGAGTTGGTCGCAGGTCCTTGGAATCCAATGATTTTTTCTAAACTGTGCTGACAGTGTTTAGCTGCTCGAGCTAGACATTTTATAACCCCCATTGGAGGAACATGCCTGTTGCTGGATGTGTCTTGGCCCTGGAGGGTGTGCATATCTAATGTGACGTCTCCTCCGGGGCTGGCCCTTTGCCTTACTCTCGGATGCTTCTCTCCTCAGGTCTGCTCACTGCTACTGTGGCCTCTCGCATCCACCGAGCAGCGCAGCCCGCCCTCCTCTATCTGGTGCCATTTACCTTGTTGCCACTCCTCACGATGGCCTACTTAAAGGTGAGAGAAGCCGTTATAAACCTGTGAGCACAATAACTTGGCATTGATCTTGGATTTGGGTATGTATTCTCCTTGCTGGAGGTGGATCTACTAAGCCCCTGACCTTGACAGTGGGGTCTTGTTCTTTCATTTTACTAACCTGATATTAGCAGCATCTTCCAGATTCTGGCAGCCACTGAGTTAGACCTCTGTGTCCCCTGCTCCTGGGTCATTAACGGCATTCTAGAGCCAGCTGCAGACTTCTCTAAAAGCAGCACCTGAAGCTCTTTGAATGCTCTGCATTCGGGGTTGAAGTAGGAGCAGCAAGGCCAACACACCCGCCTGGCCTTTCTCCAGCAGCCGCTCTGCAGGCGGGCTTAGTGCCCCGGTGCTACAGGGCCTGCAAGACACCGGCCCTGAGAGCCGGCACAGAGGCCTCCTGTAGGGGACCACCAGTGCAGCAAACCAGGTGAAGACCCGAGAGCGGGACTTCGGGCCAGGGGCGTGAGCACCGTCATTGGCGGTGCCTCTCTCCACCTCCATGGGCTGGGCAGGGCTCTGTCTTGCCTGCAAGGTCTCTGCAGTGTATTCCTGGACACATGGCTGGCGCTATTTCTGCCTAAACAAAGGAGCAGGCAGGATCAATAGGGCATAATTGCACGCACCTGGTCTCCTTTTACTACCCCCCCCCCCCCATTTGCATCAATGGGTAATTATCCAGACAGAAAATAAATGAAATAGGAAAGAAAAGACCATAACCAGAAATACCAAATACCAAAAATCTCAGTATGGCCAGATATTCAATAAATACAGCAAATCAGACAGAAGCTATGACCAAGGCTGAAAAAAAAAATTTAAAAACATCAAGTAGTTTGGAAATACATAACACACACAAAAAAAATCTAAAATATGGCATCAAGAGCATAAAGAATGGAGGGTGTAAAAATACAGTCCTTATAGAATATATATAGGGTGGAGCAAAAGTAGGTTTACCATTATTCATCTATATATATATATAAAAGCCTAAGCAACCGGCCAACCGGTAGCTTTGACGCACACTGCCCACCAGGGGGCAGACACTCAACACAGGAGCTGCCACGCTGTGGTGATTTGGCAGCTGTAGGTCTCAGGTGATACATTGGAACTAGAGAGGAGGGAGCCCCATTCCGGGATGCGTCACCTGAGTCCTGCCCTCTTACAGTCTGGGACTCCTTAGGGGATATCAGCCAGTTTCGACCTGATCTCTGCAGCCCAGGCCAAGGGAACCCACTGGTCCACAAATCTGTGCACCAGGCCTTTAGTATAAAAATAATAAAGTATTTATTACATAATAATACAAGAATAGCCGAAAACGGTTTGGCTCAGTGGTAGAGCGTCGGTCTGTGGACTGAAAGGTCCCGGGTTCAATTCCGGTCAAGGGCATGTACATTGGTTGCGGGCACATCTCCGGTGGGGGGTGTGCAAGAGGCAGCTGGACGATGTTTCTCTCTCATCGACGTTTCTAGCTCTCTCTCTCTCTCCCTTCCTCTCTGTAAAAAATCAATAAAATATATGTATTTTTAAAAATAACAAGAATAAATGTTTTCACATACCCATAATTGTAAACCTACTTTTGCCCCACCCTCTGTTTTTACTTTAACACCTATCAGTTTAAAATAGACTGCTATACATAAATGTCATGGTAACCAAAAACCAACAAAAGATATATACAAAAAGAAACCGTAACTAAACAAAGCAGTAAAACACAAGGGAAGAGATCAGGAGGAGAAGAAAGAAATAGAGGACACGTATCTGAACAAAATGGCCTAAGTACATGCTTATCAATAATTTTAAATGTAAATAGATTAAGTGCTCCAATAAAAAGACATAGGGTGGCTGAATGCTGCTTGCTTCAATTTGAAAGACATAAACTGAAAGTAAAGGGATAGAAAAAGATATCGCATGCAAACAGAATGAAAAGAACCTGAAGTAACTTTATATCGGATTAAATAGATTTAAAAAAAAAAAAAAAAAAGGACATTACATAATTGTAAAGGAGTAATCCAAGAAGAGGACATAATTATAAATATCTATGCACCTAAAATACATAAAGCAATTATTAATGGACATAAAGGGAGAAATTAACAGTAATATAATAATAGGGATTTTAATACTCAACTCATATCGATGGATAATTATCCAGACAGGAAATAAATGATATAATGACCTTAAATGTCACCTTAGATAAGATTGATCTAATAGGCACTTACACTTGATCTTAGCCAAAAGGCCGAGAAGCGATATTGATCTAATAGACACTTACAGAATCCTAGAGGCCTGGTGCACAAAATTCATGTGGTGCACAGGGTGGGTGTCCCTCAGCCCAACCTGCACCCTCTCCAATCTGGGACCCCTCAAGGGATGTCTGACTGCCTGCTGTGGGATCGGGCCTGAATGGACAGTTGGCATCCCTCTCACAGTCCAGGACTGCTAGCCCCCAACTGCTTGCCTGCCTGCCAGCCTGATCACCCCCTAACCACTCCCCTGCCAGCCTGATTGCTCTAACTGCTCTCTCCTGTGGGCCTTGTTGCCCCCAGCTTTCCTCCTCTGCTGGCCTAGTCATCCACAACTGCCCTCCCTTGCAGGCCTGGTCCCTCCCAACTGCCCTCCCCTGCTGGCCATCTTGTGGCAGCCATCTTGTGTGTGGGAGTGACAGTCAATTTGCATATTACTCTTTTATTATATAGAAGCCTGGTGTGTGGGTGGGGACCAGCTGGTTTGCCCTGAATGATGTCCCGAATCAGGGTGTAGTTCCCTTAGGGTGGCCTGGGCAAGGGGCCTGTGGTGGTTTGCAGGCCGACCACGCCGCCGCCGCCACGCGCGCTGCCCCCCCCCCCCCCATGACCCAAGTGGAGGCCCTGGTATCTGGGATTTATTTATCTTCTATAATTGAAACTTTGTAGCCTTGAGCGGAGGCTAGGACTGTGGGAAGCTTGGCTTCCTCCATTGCCAGGGAAACCCAAGCCTCCTGCTCGCTCTGAAGCTGCAACCATCTTGGATGGGTTGATTTGCATACTCACTCCTGATTGGCTGGTGGGCATAGCAGGGGTATGATCAGTTTACATGTTTCTCTTTTATTAGTGTAGGTTTCATCACAAGATTTTCAAAATGTATGGTATGCACTAAAAGTTGTTCTAGGAAGGTCATAGCTATACAGGCCTACTTCAAGAAACAAGAGAATTCTCAAATCCTGTCAACTCTTCACCTAAAGAAACTAGAAAAAGAACAAACAGAACCCCAAGTAAGTAGGAGGAAGGAAACAGTTGAGTGTGAAAGGAAATAAAAACAATAGAAAAAATTAATAAAGCAAAGAGTTGGTTCTTGGGAGGAAAAAAAAAAAAGATAAATCTTTAGCCAAAGTCATCAAAAAAGAGAGCCGGGATGTGGGTTCTCAGCAGAACTTGACGCTGTTGTCACCGTAGGCCTCAGACTTCCAGCCTCCAGAGCTCATAGAACTAAGTTTCTGCTTATCCGTCAAAAGAGCCCACATAAATAAAATACAAATGAAAAAGAAGTTATAACTGATACCACAACAATACAAAGAATTGATAAAGAATCCTAGGAACAACAGTATGCCAGCAAATATGATAATCCAAAGGAAATTGGTCAATTTCCAGAAGCAGGTAACTTTCCAGAAGACTGAACCAGGAAGAAAAATACAAAATCTAAACAAGCTGTGAAGTATTAGCAATGAAATTGAAGCAATAATAAAACTCTCAACAAATAAAAGTTCAGGAGCAAGTGAATTCTACCAAGTATTCAAAGAAGAAAATTAATACTTATTTTTGTTAATCTATTTCAAAAAAAAAAAAGTGAAGAGTTAGGGATGCTTACAAACTCATTTTATAGGCCAGGTTACTCTGATACCAAAACCATATAAAGACATTACAAAAGAAGAAAGTGGCAGGTCAATAGCCTCTATAAACATAGATAGAAAAATTGTCAAGCCGGGTTTAGCAGGACATTAAATGGATTATATACATCATGACCAAGTGGGATTAATCCCAAGGATGGTTGGCCATAAATCAATCAGTGCATCACATCACATTAACAGAATAAATAACTCTCCACAAAGCGGGTAGAGAAGGTATATCTCTCAATACATTTAAGGCCATGGGACCTGCAGGTGATATTACACGCAGTGGGGAGAGGCCGGAAGCCTTTCCTGAGATCAGGACCAGGCGAGGGTGCCCGTTTCTGCTGTTCAGCAGTGGTGGGAGCCCTCGCCACGGCGATCAGACAGAAAACAAAAGGATTAGAAAGGAAGAAGCATAGCTCTCAGAATTTGCAGATGGGGTGATACTACATATAGAAAACCCTAAAGGCTGCACCATAAACTTCTAGAACTAACAAGTGACTTCAAGTAGTTGCAGGATAGAGTCACTGTACAGAAATTGTTGCATTTCAGTAATGGATAATCAGAAGAAATGAAGACAGTCCATTTACAGTTGCATCAAAAAGTGAAAACACCTAGGAACACATTTAACCAAAGAGGTGAAAGATCTGTAGAAGATATTCGCCAATGATATTCTCAATTATGGGGTTAGCATCCAAAATATATAAAGAACTCGGACAACACCAAAAAAAACCCTCAATTTTAAAAATGGGCAGAGGACTTGCATACACATTTCTTGATACTAAAAAGATGCTCAATATCACTAATCATCAGAGAAACACAAATCCACAATGTATATCCCCTCAGCAGTAAGTACCAAGTCCTGGCAAGGGTGTAGAAGAAAGGAGCCTTGACACCAGCGATGGGAATGTAAGTTAGCGCAGCCTCTATGCAAAACAGTCCGCAGATTTCTCAAAAAATCAAACAGACCTGCCATATGATCTAACAATTCCACTTTAGTACATTTATCTGAAAACAAAAGCCCTAATTCAGAAAGATATACCCTGCTATGTTAATTGTAGCCGAGATAGGGAAGCAGCCTACAGGTCGATCAATAGATGTATGATTAAAAAAAATGAGTGTCAATATACATAAATCTGTATAACAACGGATAGTAAGCTATAATAATGAACATTTGCCACAACATAGATGAACCTAGAGGGTGGTAAGTGAAATAAAACAAATAACATTATATAATCTCACTTTGATGTGGAATCTAAAGCTGAAATAACTAAAAGCATTATCTTATTCCCAAGATTTCTGTTTTTAACTCCACCTTACAGGTGAGGAAGCAGACAGAGGTAATTAACTTGTTCAGGTCATCTGACTCGTAAGTGGTAGAACTTGTAGCAGGATAGAGCTGGTGAAAGCCCCTCCCTGCTCAGGGCCTACGCGCTCTTCAGTGAGTTCAAAGAGTGGTGGGTTACTGTCCGCCAGTCTCCATGGCAGCCGCCTGGGAACCAGACAAGCCTTGTAGATGCGTGAGCCTCAGGTGTGAGCCTGTAACTCAGTCAAGTTCCTTCTCCCAGGGCGACCTGCGGCGCATGTGGTCTGAGCCGTTCCACTCCAAAGCCAGCAGCTCCCGCTTCCTGGAGGTATGATGATCGAGAGGGACCAGGTGGCCATCCTCGTCTTCTGTCCACACCTTTCCTCTTGGAGCTGGCCTGGCATCGGAGATGGACCTGCTTAGGACCTGACGGACTGCGTTTCGCGTTTGCGGGAGCCTGTTTGCCGGAGGAGGTGCTGGGCCTGCGTGGATCCTCTTCCCGCGTGGAGGGGAGTCCCTTCCCAAGGGACAGGCCTCCCAGCTCCTTCCTCTCCTGCTCTGGGACCTGCGCAGACTGTTACCGTGGGAGATGGAGGTGTGTGACTCTAAAACTGACAGCGGCATGGAGTCGTCCTGTACCTTTTGAACACTAAACGGATGAAAAACTAGCAAAGTGACGTTTCTTCAGCGACCCCTCCAGAACTTTGGGATCAGCTTCCAGTGGGGGACTCCGTTTCAGAGACTGAGGCAGAAGCTCTTCTGTCCTTATCTTCTTTCCTTTTTTGGATTTATTAAATATTTCCTGTGGTGTGAAATGACTTACTAAATCCACAGACATTGAGTGACTTCTTGCAACATACACATACGGATTGTAAAGCGTTCATGTCCACCCCGATGTGTCGGCAGTGAATGGGGGCACGGTTTTTATACGTACACACGCACATAGATATGTATGAATAAACAAAACTAAAACCTGCTAAGATCATGCTGTGTAGCAGACAGGGGCTCGCTGTGATTGTTAGCATGTAGAGCCGTTTTCTCTGGCTTTCTTGTACCTGGATAAGCTGCTGTCTTTCCCTCCACGACTGAGCGTGCAGTTAAAACCAGTATAGTGTTTGTACTGATATACTCATGGGCGTTAGGGGGTCTCCTTTGGTTGTGGTCAGTATAGCAAATTAGGGATGAAAAGATGAACCTTTTGGCCCTTTCTGTTTTTGCAGGCTTCTCCCAGGCAGGGTTTAGTCCTTCCTTCCTGAACTGATGCATGTATTATAGCAGCCGGCGTCTTTGTGCTTCTGATCATAGTAATGGACTACTTGTAAATACATTTTTCTATTTTCTATTTTTTTGTATTTTTTTTTTTTGGCATTTTGTTTCATTGGTGTGCTGTATTTTCCATGCCCTCACTCCTTTAAGAAAAAAAATGGAAAAAACAACACAATCCTCTCCTTGCTGTTGTGATTATAGTCTTGGTTTACCTGTGGTGACACTGGGTATTGGGGACAAATGTCATGTGCCGCCCCTTCCCAGATTCCGGGTGCGCCAGGTCTCCCAGGAACTGTGGGCAGAGCCCCCGGCCCTGTCCGCTTAGGACCTGCCCACGTGCTGCGGCCTTTGCCCGAGAGCAGCGTTCCCATGGGGACCAGTGTGCGTGCCGTGCGCCCGCCTTTGTCCAGCATCCCCGCCTGGTGAGGAGCTGTCTGGTGTGCAGAGGCCGAGAGGCCTGGGATTGGCCCGTGGACCCGGCAGTGGAGGCCGGAGCGGGCGCCCGCCTGCCCGCCCGGGCCCGGCCTGCGGATGCCCGGCCTGCGGGATGCCCCAGCCTGCAGGATGAGGGTCCTCTGCCCAGGCCCAGGGGTCAGCACAGCAGCGTGGGGCCTGGGGAGCGGGAAGCTGGCAGGGCGGTGCATACCTGTGTCTTCACATCCTGCTGAGGGCCGCTGCGTCTTTAGTTTTGATGTTTGTTTTTTAAAATAAATGACTCCTTTCTAGACTTGGTCCTCTCTTCACTTTTGGTTGTTGGTACCCGACTCCCTCGCCTTCCCACTCTGTCTGCACTGGAGCATGAACCGGAGGCCCCTCCGGACCCTGCGCTCCGGGCCGGGGAGCCACGGGCCGGCGCTCTGCCCTCCCCCCCCCCCCCCCCTGGAGGCTGCGTGGCTTCCAGAATGACTAAAGACATAGAAGTGTCATCCTGGCAGCTGGTCATTTTAATTTTCCTAACTTCTCATACAAAAACTAAATTCCAGACAGCAGGAATGCAATTTCTTCTCACTTCTGAGCAGGTTTAGGGGGAAAGACATGGGGCTCCGGAATGTACTCTGGATTCCATGTGCTAGTCTTGGAGTCCTTAAGCTGCCACGCCTCCAAAACGGGAACCATTCCCACCCCCACCATATTTTGAATTTAATTGAAAAAATCAATTTGCAACAAGTATCATAAAAATAGATATATTACAATTCGGGTGTTATAGAATTTTTTCAGCTGAAAAGTCTCACGAACAATGATTTTAAAGTTGGTCAGGGCTCCACTTAGGGAGAACTTTTTCTATAGATGGGCGTGGCCTGTGGGGAAGGTCCCTGTGGCCTCTGCAGACGCTTACAGCGAACAAGGGGTTAAAACGGGCTTAAAGTCGGGGGGGGGGGGGGGGGGCACGGAACTCAGTCCGGGCAGCAGCCCTTTGCCTGGGGAAGGGAACCAGGCTTTTCCTCTCCACCGCCCCCTCCCCTCTCCCTGCCCCTCTCCCTGCCGGTGCTGTGGCCTGGGCTCACTCCCTCCGGCTTCTCAGGCGCTGAGCCGGGCTTCCTGAGGACCCGGCATTAGCCAGGTGTGGCCCCCTTCCTCGGGCTCTCCGAGCTCCCAGCCACCGCCTGTGGGCCCGCCCTCAGCCAGTGAGATAAGAGGCGAAGCTTATCCACAGCCACAGGTTCCCGGCTGTCACCGCCCCCGGGCCTCTCCCGGTCACAGCGCCCCGTGTGGGGGCAGTGCCCACGGAGGGAGGCTGCCCGTCCAACAGGTGAGGAACAGACTGTGCTCAGGAAGGTGGAGGGAAGAGAGTCTGTTTTGAAGAAAAAAAAAGTGTTAAAAATAGAATCTGCTGTGTCTGCAGAGCAGCTCGCGTGACTGCCAGCCAGGCCGTGCTGTGTAGAGCTCATAGGCTGACGCTCAACCATGAGCCACACCAGCCGGCAGGACTCTAGTCTCTCGACTGCTCATGGGTGTGGGCCTCCCCGAGCAGCACTCCCCGCGCTCGCGGCCGTAACGTGGCACCTCCGTGGAGACAGCCCTTCCCCGTCCGAGGCCAGGCCGTGCTGTGCGGCTCCCCCGCGGGGCTGTGGCTGGGCGGGCGGGAGAGGCGGCCGCTTCCCACGTCCAGGCTGCTGGGCCACAGACACCGGGCCCGTCCCGGAGCCGTCCCCGGGCCGGGCTGGGCACACGCGGGGCCGGGCCTGGGCCTGAGGAGCCGCAGCCGGCGGCCGGCGCCTGATGCCGCCGCACACATGGCGTCCGTGCCTCCAGCTCAGCCTGCGCGCAGGCTCCTGTCCCTTCCCGGGCCCATAGCCTGTCCCTGCTGGGGGCCCGGGAAACCTGCCCCGTGTGCAGGGTCCGAGGCCTGGCATGGAGGAGCCGGAGCGGGCTGGGCGCCGCCGGGCAGAGGGACTGCGGAGCTGGGGGTCGGGAACAGAGGAGCGCCCGGCAGGAAGTGGCTCCGGAGGACAGAGACGGACACGGGCAGCACGGTGGCCGCCGGCCGGCATCCAGCCCCGCGAGAGGCGCCAGCCCCCCCCGCTGCCCGGCCCGTCCTGCCTCCCTGCCCTCCCGGTGAGCGGAGCTCCGGATGGAGAGACACCTCACCCCCTCCCCGCCCCCGCTCCCCTCACCCCCTCCCCTCACCCCCTCCCCTCACCCCGCTCCCCTCACCCCGCTTCCCTCACCCCCTCCCCTCACCCCGCTCCCCTCACCCCCTCCCCTCACCTCCCTCCCCGCCCCCACTCCCCTCACCCCCCTCCCCGCCCCCGCTCCCCTCACCCCCTCCCCGCCCCCGCTCCCCTCACCCCACTCCTTACCCCTCTCCCCTCACCTCCTTCCCCTCACCCCTCCCCCCGTTCCCACTCCCCTCACCCCGCTCCCCTCACCCCGCTCCCCTCACCCCGCTCCCCTCACCCCTCTCCACCCCCCCTCTCCTCACCCCCCTTCCCCTCACCCCCTCCCGCCCCCACTCCCCTCACCCTTCTCCCCTCACCCCTCTCTCCTCACCCCTCTCTCCTCACCCCCTTCCCCTCACCCCGCTCCCACACCCCCTTCCCCTCACCCCTCTCCCCTCTCTCCTCACCCCCTTCCCCTCATCCCGCTCCCCTGTTCCCACTCCCTTCACCCCGCTCCCCACAGGGGTGGGGAGAAGAGGGAGCCGGGAGCTGCGCCAACAGGGAGAGGAGTGAGGGGCGCCCTGTGGGCCAGCGGAGCGGCTGAAGCTGAAGCCTCAGGCGCCTCAGATGGATGGAGGCCCTGGGGCCCCGGGGGCAGAGGAGCCCCCTCCGCAGCCCGGACCCCTTCGCCAGGAGCCGAGGCGCCTCCTCCCGGACCCCGAACCGCAGGCTCAGGGCGCCTCCTCCCGGACCCCGAACCGCAGGCTCAGGGCGCCTCCTCCCGGACCCCGAACCGCAGCTCAGGGCGCCCTGGGCCAGGCGCGGGCCGCCGCGGCTCCGGGCCCGCTCCCGGCTGCCAGCCCCGCGCAGGGCGCCCCCACCCGTCTGTCTGCCCGGCCCGGCCCGGCCCGGCCCGGCTCTCCCACGGCCGGTGAGGGGCGGCCCGGAGCCCCGGCTGCAGGCGAGTGGATCCGACAGGCAGCACGGCCTTCACCAGGAGCCTGGCCAGGCCCAAGCCAGGATCCCTCTCTCCCTCTCTCCCTCTCTCACACACACACACACACACACACACACACACACACACACACACATGCACACATACACGCACTCACACACTCACACATACATGCACACACACGCACACACACATACGCGCGCGGGCACACACGCACGCACACACACACACATACACACATGCACACACTCTCACACACACATACATGCACACACATGCACGCACACATACATGCACACACTCACACACACACGCTCACACACACGCTCACACACTCACACTCTCACACACACTCACACACACACTCACACACACACACACTCACACACACACACTCACACACACACTCACACACACACACACTCACACACTCACACACACACACTCACACACACACTCACACACACACACACACTCACACACTCACACACACTCACACACACACACACACTCACACACACACTCACACTCACACACACACACTCACACACACACACACACACTCACACACACACGCTCACACACACACGCTCACACACTCACACTCTCTCACACACACACACACACACACACACACACACACACACACACACACACTGGGTCCGGACCGGTTCGCTTGCTCACCGCCGCCGTCACCCCTCACCCGGTTCCGCGGCGGCGCAGGGCTCCACGCCGGTGTCCCCGGAGAAAGGCTGCCTCTGCCCTCGTCCCCTCCCGGCCGCCTGGGGAGTGACTGCGCTGGGGCGGCCTGGTCTCAGCCGCAGGGGCTCCTCCCTCGGCCTCCGGCCTATTTCACTTCAGTTTTTAAACCGCGAGGAAGGGAGAGGGAGGGAGAGCATCTGCCCCCTGTTGGCCCCCATCGGGGATGGAGCCCGCATCCTGGGCGTGTGCCTGGCTGGCATCGGACCGTGCCCTCCTGGTTCCCGGGTCAGTGCTCAGCGCGGAGCACCGGCCTGTTTTAAAATACGGAGCAGGCCCTGCCCAGCTGGCCCAGGTCAGCCCAAAGGAGCCAGGGCAGCGGGGCCCGAGCAGCCTGGGCCTCCAGGGTCTCGGCTGGGCCAGGCGAGGAGCAGCGCCCGACCTCTGCCGGAGGGCGACTCTGCTGGGGTGACCCCAGCCCCCGCCCCACCCCGCCCCTCCCGGTGAGCAGAGCCAGGGCCTGAGGGGACTGGGAGGCTTGGCCATGGCCACGTCCAACCTTCTTTCTCGTGACAATGTGGCGAGGACGTGACCGCGGCCCAGCAGATGTGAGGGAAGGTGAGCCAGAGGCTCAGCCGGCCCGGAGGGCGCACAGGGCAGTCATCGGGGAAATCCGTGGGGAGCCCCCGCCAGGGAGGACACATGACACCTCCCGGACTCCCGGGCTGACGTCAACTGGGAAATGG